CCCTTGCTAACCAACTATTTCAGTTTAACAGTGAAGCAACACAAATGAGATCAGCTTTTCCTAAACACAACCAACAAAAGATGAGAAAAACCCCAGACATACACACCTTATTACTCAACTGCGTTTTATTTCAAGTTTTAAAATTGCAACCACTGTGCACTTCCCTAGAGACATTTTATGGCCTCGAAAGTCAATGAAACAAATCTAAAATGCCATGTAAGACAGAGTCTAACAATGTACTTTCTTGAAGTCCAGAGGTGCCCTAAACAACATTTGCTGTGCTTGTAAATTCAGGTAACATCAAATGCCTGCCTACCTACCTTCAAATAATTCTGTGTATTTCTACCATATATAATCTTCTCTAACAGGGAACACTACCTGCAGGAAACAGTGCTGCAAGATTATTTTTTTTCCACAGATCAGAATCTGAGCTAGCTCACGTGCAGTCCAACATTAGCCTGAAACACCAGGATTTCCCGCCCCAAAGTCTTAAGAACGTTGTCCGAACACAACGTTAGTATTACTCCTGCATTGTATTTCCTGTTACATCTTGCATTAGAATAAGGCAGCATTTGGTTTACAGACTTAACATACATACAAAGGCTAAAGTATTTAGCGATTAAAGGAGGTTCCTGATGACTAGAGAAAAACAATTTTAATGCCTGTCTTCAAGAAGGAGGATGTGAAAAACTACTGTCCCATCAATCTAGCCTCACAAGCACAAGAAGGACAGGAGGATGACTGGGAATGGCAGCATGGATTTACCAAGCACAAATCATGCCTGACAAACACAGTTGCTTTCTAGTTCAAGATGACTACCTGTGCAGGCAAGGTGAAATCAGTGGATATCATAAACCTTGACTTTAGCAAAGTCACACACCAAGGTGGATAGAAAAGTCCAGCCAGGGTGCAGATTGCTAATGATGTCCCCATAGGTTGATATTAGGGCCAATACTGTTTGATATCTTTATTAAAACTCAGGAAGTTCAAATTTTTCTTTGCTTGCACACACAGCTTTTGCTTTCTCTATTAAACTGTCTTTATCTCAACCCATGAGTTTTCTCAATTTCACACTTCTGATTCTCCCCGCCATCCCGTTGCAGGAGAGTAAGCAACTGGCTGTGTGGAGCTGAGCTGCCTACTGGGGTTAAACCACAATGGTTATATGCTGAAAAGGAGGGTGGTTATTTAGAGGGAATTAACAGACTGGAAAAAACAGACTGACAGGAACCTCATGAAGTTCAACAGATGCAAATATGGCATCATACACCTGGGACAGAATAACCCCTTGCAGCAGTACAGGCTGTGGACTGATAAAAAATTCAGTTTGGTATAAGAACTTAAAAGGAAAGAAAAAAAAAAAAGAAAAAAGAGCATGAGTATGACCAAGCACATGGAATAAGTTGCTCAAAGGAGACTTATACTAAAGCTGAACAAGCCTCAGCACCATGATCTAATTACACCTGCTTGATGCATGGAGGTTCAACCAGAAGACCTCCAGAGGTCCTGTGCAAACCAAGTTAGTCAATAATCCTATGTAATTACAGATAACATCCCAAGAAATAAGACATTAAAAAGACAAGGCTGTTCCACCAGTAAAATCTATTGGTTTTAACTGAGGCAAACATTCTGCCTTAAGATCAGTTACATAAACCCAAAATTAAGTTTCTAACTTGCGCATTGAACTATGTAATACAAAAATCCTGTTTAAAATGATGGCAAAAGCAGCATGGTCCAAAGTCATAAAATAAATCCAGAAAATAGTATTTTCTATAATTAATCTTAATTCCTCCACCAGCTTAGTATAGTCTTAGAAACATCAATTCTTTCTCGCTTACATCAATCATTTTCTACCTCAGAAAAAGCAAGTAACAGTGAACTGAACTTGTTCTTCCTATTGAACTAAGAAAGTATTCCTGAACTGTAAAACTAACGATTCCGCTAAAGTTGAAACTATATTAACTACGAAAATCAACAAAACAAGAACCTCTTACATAAAAGCCATAGTCACTGACAAAAAGCTCTTAAATGTGTTACACATCGTATTTGTTCACTGAGAATTACCATTTTTTAGATTTTTTTCTTTTTATATGACACAACACTAGGAGATAGGAAGAAAAGAGAAACTGAAATGGCAGCAATTTTTTCTGCTATTTGATCATTGTATTAGAAAAGACTCATGCTACATCAACTAGAAATAAAATATGATTTGTTCTGTCTGGTAAATAAAAACTGACAAAGGCAGATTTTTTTTCCCCCCATCACCCAACATACAATTACTCTCCACTAATAATGGCTTATAACTTAAAGGTAACTTAAATAATTGAGAACTATGGAAAAACATTTTCACTTTGTCTGCTTCTAGATAAACACTAGAAAAAAAAATATTGTGGAATATATTCAAGTCTAATTGTGTATTGGCATGTAGGCCTGTAACAAAGGACTTGCCAAACAGAGCTAGGCTTTGTTAAAAACAGCAAACAAAATCCATGTCTAACACAGAAGATGTAGTAGTGAGCCATAATACATCCTCGAAGAAAAGTAATACGAATATATGCTATACAAACACAGAAACAGCACCCATCAAAATAACATAGGAAAACAGTAGTGAAGATGGTCTTGCAGACAAAATAAGGAAGCATAACATAACATAGTACAAGACCTAAGCTAAATATATTACAATTTTTTTTTTTTCAATTTTCAAGCACTTTACGAATACTGGGTAGGTAATTTGATTTGGTAGCAGATAAAGGCTTTTTCTTTTCTTCTTCTAACAAATTCTTGTTTTCAATGGCAAGAGCTGCAACTCATTGGTATGAGATGACAGCAAGCAATACATTCATGAAGACCACTACCTCAACCAATGAAATTGAAACACAATGAATGATAACAGCTTGGCAGCCTTCATTCTAATGAGAAAAATACGAAGCGCTCTATCATTCAAATCAAAAGCCAACAGGCAGCAAATATGGAGGTAAAAAAAACAGACATAAAAACTTCACCTTAAATCTACTTTAGATATGCTTCAAGTTGCAAATGGTATTTTAGGCAGGGATGAAGTTCCACAGGGAGCAATGGTATCAAGGTAAAAATTATGCAAAAAAGAAAGAAAAAAAGAAAATTAAAGAAAACAAAGAAAGGAAAAGGTGGGTTTCTCTTATGGATGGATGCCAAAGCAATCATTTAAATTATCTTGATAATTTCTAAATAAAACAATACAAATTTAATCCCATTTTTCCATTCTAAAATAGAAGAACTAAGAAAAAGTCACAGAGAAAAGAGATTACAGAACAATGTACAGGAAAGGATTTCTGAGAAAAGAAGTTAAGACTATTTAGGAAAACAGATCGACTAGCAGAGTTTGCAAACAACTAGACACAGTTATCTAGGAGAGATAAAGACACAGTGTACTTTTAGCAACTTTCTGAACCTGAGCGTTTGAAGGACAGACGCCTAAATACTATTATCTTTTTCTAGGTCAGCAAGAACTCTGGTAGTTGGTGCCTTAAAGTTAGCACTGTCTGGGAAACATGGTGTTCTCATTTTGTACTAAACTTAATTTCATGATAGATAACAACACTACTGCACAGGAAATATTCTCCTAACTCTTCATTTTTTGTGATTAGCGGAGGGTGGGGGAGTTGGGGAAAAATCCATATGACATTCAAGAAAAATCTCTGACAAAAAGAACTTTCATCTTAAAGAACAACTGAAACATGTCCACGGTCCTAAAGGCTACAAACAAAATCAGGTACTCCTAGTCTTGATTCTGTCAAGCTCTTAAAAGAAATAAGAACCATATACAGTCAATGCATTCATTCTGCAAGTTTCACTGGCATGGAAATCATAACCAAAACATTTCCTTAATGCACTAGAACTTGCAGAGTTGCAAGTCTTGCCTAAACTACATCATAAGTTTTTAAACCAAATTAATTACTCAATGCCGGCATTACAGTTAATATTTCTCAGGCAGCCACTTCCAGGTGATCAATGTTTATAAGCTCAAAGTGTATGAAAGCAGTTTCTTTACAAAATCTGTGCTTAACTGATTTGCTATAACCTTTGAACCATACATTAGTTTAAACAGTTATGAGTATATCACACCTTCTTACATATAGATGAGGCTAAATGGTACACCAGAAACCACAAGCATGTTCTTATCACAGTACATTAACAGAAGTAAGGAAGTTAACAACTCTAAGACTATGAAGTATTTATACATGTATAGGTCCTTTCCACTGGGAACAATCTGATTTTTAAAAACCTATTTATAGTTTTGAGATTATCAAGAAAGCAAGAGCAGTAGATCAAGCCAGTTGACAGGAGCAAGATAGTAAGAAAGTATATTATGGAGCAAGAGTGCGGGCAGTCAAGTTGCCATTTGCTAGAACTACAACAGTAGGTATTCCTAGCTGCTGAAATTAAGATGGTTGTATTACTACTGCTACTTCACTGTCTGTTTGTGTGCTTCTAATACTATTTATGAGACATAAGCAACAAATAGAAGCTCCTAGCTTTAGGACACGACCAGAAAAATTTCACGTAAAGGACATGTAACAGGGAATGCTGCAACGGTGGAAAATCCCGGAGTGGTAAGTTCCAGTGTGAAAGTTCAAGTTCACCTGAAATTAAAACTGATTGTAGACCAAGAATTCAGTCCTAAGGTTTTTCTGACTTTGAAGATGCATGTGCAGATTAGCCAGAAGTCTCCTGTCATTCACTGGTGCTAAGATAGGAAGCCTAAAATACAGCTCCTAGCTGAACACTTGAAAGAAATGATGGAAGAGTGGTAAGGTTACCTTACACATGAACTAAACTGAAAGAAGAGAGGAAGACAAGAAGGAGTAGTCAGTCATCACTGTACATGACAACAACAAAACTGGGAATGGCTAGCAAGTATGAAATAAGAATATATGACTCCTCAAAATGGAGGTGAAAGCTTACTTACAGAAATGAAGCAATAAGCAATGTGTAAAACACCTCCCTTCTCCCACACTTACCCGACTACCTCAACAGCATCATTAAGATAGGGATCAACTATCATCTCCTTTGAAACGTTCCAATCTCCATCCGCAGCGATGATGCCAATGTTCCTTAGACCCAGTCTGTCCAAAGATTCTCGAAGTACCTTAGTAACAGACAACACCACTTAAAGTACAGCCTTCATCAACCAGGCAACATGAAAATTTAAGACTGAAAACAATTTAAGAACTATAGGAGTTGTCGATGAAAGCATTTGTCTTCAGACCAAGACAGGTAAGAAAAGTTCTCACTTCTCAAAGGAAAGCCATAATGAGAACTAAGACAAAGTAAGTAAGTACTACTTACTTACATGGTAAGTATTTTTAACACTGAAGCATTATCTATGACATTCAGATAGCCATTACACAAAAATGGGCTTCTTATCACTTTTAACACCCCATGTGCAGACATGTACTCCACTCAGACACTCTCAACATACCGCTTCAATCCATTGCACGCATGTAATTCATTACATATGAGTAATGGATTTTGCATAAAGTAGTCATGTTAAGTTGATCTAAAAATGATGAATGGCTGGAATTTGGAAGTGGACATACCTCCACAAGTGATCAGAAGTGAAAGTTAACCTGGCCCAAAAAAAGTATATTGATGAAACAGGGATTGAAGTTTTAAAATAGAAAAGACCTCATAACCATGCTGCTCTCTACAAGAACAGAAACCTTTGCCAAACATCTGTCTTTTTCAAGAGAAGAGCACCTAAGCATTCTTTTTGTAGGCTATTTTACCGAACAAAAAAATCTTTGATCTTTTAAGTGTCTAATATTTAAGTTTACCCACTACTTGGCTCTCATATTTCTCACTAATTTTCAGGAACCTAACACATAAAACTGGAATTGCATATTTACACTGAAACTGAAGGCAGTCAACTTTGAATTCAAACATACCAGCAGAAAGAATTCCTACTCTGTCTTTCCAGTTTCTCCTTACTATTTCACTGTCAAAGATGATAAACTTCTCCCATCTGCCTGTGGAACTTCTTAGACAAAATATACCCAGCTCTAACAGTTAAGAATGAACCAGTGAACCAGGCTTATACAGGGCTAGTTTTATACAAGCATGTTTTATCTGAATACTCAATAAAAAAAAAAAAATTAAAAGTGTTTTCAGCAGTTTCCACATACAGTTGCACCTGAAAAAGGACATCAGTCCACAGTCTAAAATCCTGTCTTCAGTCTTGATACAGAGGAGTGATGTACTATGTGCTGTATGTATACATGCATAAGAACGATTCTTTACAACTGTTTGAAGATCAATAGCCACGAATTCTTAAATAATTTCTTGTAATAGCCCTCCAGCAATGTGAAGAAGAATAGGGAGCATTTCTACTTTGACATGTAGTGAAATAAGGATGCAAAGCAAAGTCCAAGTGTTTGTGACAATGAAAGCCTAGATCTAAAGGACATAAAACTTAAGAAGAAAAGCAGCAATGAAGTTCTGTTCAGATGCTTTAAGCCTTTGAAGCATGAAGTTTACCAGAAGAAAAATTCATAATGGTAGAAATACTTACAGTAGGGTCCTTGCAATTTAAAGCTTTCTAGCTAGCTAGACATTTGGAAAAATGGCCTAACTACAGAGATAGTTCAGAAGAACAAAATGATGAGAAAGGTTGCAAAACTTCCATGTTGAAAGATAAGTACCAAGGACACAGAACTGTAGACACTCAAAATGCACTCTGTAATAACACACAGAATGGTTTCCCCACACCCAGTATTCATGTTTACATACAGATACTCCTTAAATTTTAGGGTTAGTTTAAGATGACAGTATTTAAAAATACAATTGGAAGAACAGGATCTTCTTGAATAAGAATTTATAAGGAATAGAATCATCATTACTTTTTTCATTGTTTTTCTTCTTAATAAGAAACAAAACTAACGCTTAAGTGGATGAAGTAACTAAAACAACTTCTTAAAACAAAAAATGTAGATAAGCTCTTGGTTTTCTTGTTATGTCATGTATTTGTCAGACATTACACAAAATGTTTGGTGTGCAACACCACACTTCAGTAAATACACCTTTTTCGAAATGGCAGACTGCAAATAAAACTATCATGCTGACTAGAGAATAGACGTCACGCAACATTGCAAAGTCTAAGAGAATGAATGGTAAAATAGGTGTTAAATAAAAAGCTTATATCAATTAACATGCAGTGGAGGGAAGGCTGACACTTTTCAGTAAATATTTGGGTGATTTTAAGACCAAATTTTAAACTAAACACTAGTTTAGCTCTAGAAGCAAAAGCTTAGTCCCAATACAACAGCATTTAAAAAGCTAACAAGTAGAATGACGCACCTATACTCGACAGTTTGTTCTCCACATAAGGAAACCAAGACAAACAGATGAGAAAGTCTCCAGGTGACATGAGATAGGACTGAGAAAAATAGAACATTTCTATTTCTTACAAGACATACAGAAAGCCAGAAAACCATTTAAAAAGAGCCAATCAGTGATATAGTGAAACAAAATTAGTATTTTATTTATAGTAGGATCTGCCTTCTCTCTCTGATGATTCTTTTACAAAGGGTTCAGTCTCATAGGCATTCCATGCAACGTAACATCTAGTCAGTGAAGAAATAAAGCTTGCAGCTCAAAAACACCAAAATCCTCACTGTTTATCTTCCATCTGACTTCGTACTGCTTTACTCCAGCCTGCAAACACGCGTTTTCAGTTCTGTTTGGTTTTGCTTCTATAACATACATACTGAGTAACTAGAGATTTCTACTTGCTGTCCATACACACTGTCCTGGTTTCAGCCAGGGTAGAGTTAATTTTCTTCATAGAAGCTAGAGTGAGACTATGTTTTGGATTTGGGATGAGAAAATGTTGATAACGTGCTGATGTTTTGAGCTGTTGCTAAGTAGTAAAGGGCAGTCCAGCTTCTTGTGCTGGCCTGCTAACAAGGCTGGGGGTGCACGGGAAGTTGGGAGGGGGCACAGCCAGGACAGCTGACCCAGGCTGGCCGCAGGGATATTCCCTACCATACGATGTCATGCTCAGTATATAAAGCTGGGGTGAAGAAGAAGGAAGGGATGGAGGGATGTTGGGAGTTGTGGCATCTGTCTTCCCAAGAAATCATTACCCGTGATGCAGCCCTGCTTCCCTGGAGATGGCTGAACACCTGCCTGCCCATGGGGAGCGGCGAATGAATTCCTTGTTTTGCTTTGCTTGCGTGCGCGGCTTTTGCTTTACTTTAATATTAAACTGTCTTTATCTCAAACCATGAGTTTCCTCGCTTTTACTCTTCCAATTCTCTCTCCCGTCCCACCGTGGGGGAACGAGTGAGCGGCTGTGTGGGGCTTAGTTGCCGGCTGGGGCTAAACCACGACACACACGTTTCCCCCTCCTCCCCTCCCAGCATAACTTACCTATGATTAGGATTACGCTTTAGGTGACTACTAGTATCCTTATTGATTTAGCCTATACCTGATTAGTGAACCACTCTTCTTTTTGAAAAAGAAAAGCCTGGAACCCACATTGCCTGAGGCTAACTATAACAGCAAACTTCTAGTTGCTGACAGGTTTTTGTAATAAAAAGAGCACTCTATGAACTCACTTCCTAGCTTTAAAAAGAAGTCCAGCTATGGTTTGTGCTGAACACACATTGGGATGGGATATTTTACGAGGATTCTAAGCATACCCACTGAACAAGTTTAGACAAGGATTTAACTAGCTTCACTTGCAAAGTCTGAAACATCTGCACATCCACCAGTGTTTGTTACTTAACATGCCCCAAAAAACAAGACACCTTGACACAGGTACCAAGATATCCTGCTGTGTCACACTTCAGTGTATTTCTGTTTTCTCTGGAAGGGATTTTTTAAGTCACTTGAAAACTCTACTGCCAAACCTGCATCTAAAAGGAACTAATGGTCTAGCAGCCTACAAAAGTGAGAGTCTAGAAAATACCTCTAATGAAATTAGTTGTGGAGTAAAGTATACATAATAGAATTTGGTCTAAGGTGTGATAAGACTTGTAAACTAAGTTACTGTGTTGGAGTGGACCCAGCAAATCAGTTTAACATATTTGTTAACAAGAAACCCATAAAGCTTGATATAAGGTATTCCTCTTTCTTTGTACAAGGTATATGACCAGCGCAGAGTTTCTGCCAGTGCTTCCTGTCCTCCTTCAGCCAAAGCACTGCACAAGTCATAGGAAACAACTATAAGGGTATATCTAATTCTACATTCTAGGAAATAACAGTTTTAAAAAGAAATGTTTTTTAGGAGAGCATTCTCAGTTTTCAGGAGTAGGCAGAATTTTACAGGTGCCAGCCACATGAAAAATACTTAAAGATACTTTTTTGCTCATATTACAATGTCAATTTTAACTGTTGTATGCCATTAGTAGGCACTAATTGACTGATTTTAAGCAGATGGGATCCAATCTCTGCTGAGTTCTGAAAAAAAACATCAGTTTTTCTACACACTCAATTTAACTCTTACTTGCTTTTAAGGAGAGCTAATGCTATTGCTTTGAAGCAGCAACAAGCAAACGCACAAAGCAGAAGCTCGTACCTAAGATTCCACTTCAACATAACAGACAGAAGTAAGTTTTCAAAGGGCAGGGGGGCAGCAGGGGCAGGGGAGCAGTAAGAGATATTAGAGACATCTCAAGACTGGTTATGTAAAATACTGTGTTCTTCCAACTCTTTTAAAACAGCAGGTACTGAATTTTGCAGAGTCAAAAACACAGCACCTTTATTAGGTTTTCTGATTTACCTTTTCCATAAAATAAGAACCTGAAGTTTTATTGCAATAGTTTAAGGGTATTATATCCACTGGAACTTTACTACAGAATTTTAAATGATTCTAGATCTTGGACTTACAACTGTATCGAAGCCAATACAAAGATGATGAATTTGTAGGGGTTCAGTAGCATCAACTGGAGCTTCCATTAAAATGTAGAGGTCCTAAACATTCAGCATACACTGACACACTTAAAAGTTCAAAATAACAGTTTCAGACACACCAAAAAAAAAAAAAAAATCTAGAGATCTGATCCTGCTAGCATTCCATGTCCACAACTACAAGAAACCAAGTTCAGTAAGTGAAGTAGTTGCAGGATTAAGGTCCCTTTTTTAGGCAAATTCAGACTAGCTAATTGTTTACATACGATAACAAAGACAAACATTTCACTTCAGAGAAATAAGAAAAAATACATACCTTAATATATTTGCTACTAAATGCCCTTTCATTCCATACCTGTAAAGGAAAAGTAAAAAGCCATTTAGAAAAATCAGGGTATGTCAATGCATAATGAAAGATTTTATTTATGTATATGATGTGTGTGTGTGTATATATATATAAAAGATTATACCATCCATTAATGAACTCCATGGTTTCAGTTTGCTAGAGGAAAATGCTCTGGTTGGTTTTGTTATCAGCTCTTCAGGGGAAAATTCTGTATGAAAGTTCAAAGTAGCTGCTTGTTTATCCTTATCTAAGGTCTACTGATTGCCTTCTTGCTAAAAAAATCTCTAGAACTGCTACCTCCATAGGGCTCAAGCAGTGTCACACATAACATTATTACCAATGGGTCTAACAGTTTCTTGGAAGTCATTGAGAAATACATTGTGGCTGCAAGGTGCGGTCCTAATGAAGGGCCCTGTTGCCATACACTGACATAGGAGAGCTAGAATAAGTTACATATTGAACAACAGCCTACAGTTTCAGGGGGTTATTCAATGACACAGTGCTTTCTAATTTACACAGGACTATTATCGATACTTGAACACGAGAGAGATCCAGCATAGTTTAAGTAAACACACACCAAATAATCTCATTTCTGTTGCTCTGGATTTTCCATCTTTTATAAAAGAGTCTTTAAGCTAAACACAATTCAAAATCCAAAAGTGGGAATGCTGGTCTTCCTCTCTGCCAAATACCCTGCCCAATAAAATGCACGGTCAGAAACCTCCTTCCTTTTTCTAACTGCAACGTGAACACTACAATTCACATTCACCAGTAAAAGTAAAAGTACCCCTTGTAGCTGTAGGTTACCCAAATATGTACAAGCAGACAGTTTCTTGCAGGTGGGATATGTCCATTTGATTTTGATATTTCTAGATCTTACCATTAGTGCTAATATGTGACTTCAGAAAGGAGCCAATCAAAAAGTTACTTCCTGAAAAGCTCATTTCAACATAAAGCAAATAATGATATACAACACGCGCTATAAACCAAAAGAGCAGGAAAGGCTAACAATGTCGAAACAAAACTGCATTAAAATTGTTTTGACAGTTCCTGAGCCTTCACAGACCTCACTGCTTTCCTGTATTTCAGATTATACCCACAAAGAAAACAGACAATACGCAATGTCACCGCATTGCCTGCGGAAGCAGAAATTTCCTTTTCTTAGAAGTATAGAATTTAGAAGCCAATCACTGAAGTAACAACACAGAAGCCAGACGTTACTTGAATAAGTCAAGTGCAGAACTTACTTTCTACTCTAAGAGCATAGCAAGGAGAAAAATTTAACAGCAGTTGTTATCACCATCCCCCCAGTTGAATTGCTGAAGAATCACTGTGTTACCCAAACTGCAAGACTGACACAGCTGAAGTAAGTAAGCAACATCAAGTGGGGAGCATTCCAGAGGAGATATACTTCAGATATACCTTCCCACATTACAGCAGAAAGGTCGGTCTTCCTTTGAGGGATGGGAACCATAGCTTCAGCTTTGCTCTGGACTGCTGAAGTGATTTTCAGCTTTTCTGCAGTTAAACAACTGTCTCATAGCAAAACACTTAAAAGTCAAAAATAAGTGTTTCAGTAAGTATAGGACTGATTTGAGAGGAATCCTAGCCACACATTTTCTTAATTGGAAGAAAAAAGAAAAAGTTGAATCTCAGTCAAATAATGCACTTGAAAATTGGCTTTCCAGATTATCTGCTTCTCTCTCTCATCTCCAAATTATGACATTTTTCTTAGACATTCATTCACTACTTCCTTATATTGCACTGTGACACAATAAAGTAGTTACAATGTACTGTAACACGTGCACCTTCAGCTACTATAAATAATGCAGGTAAAAATAGAAGTTGTAGAGGACTGCCCTTCTACAAAGCAGCAACCATATTTTATGCCAAAAAGTCATGTTAGCTGACTCTCCCGAACTCTTTCTTAACAAATGGTTTTTGTTAGATGGTAACTGCTGAAACCCAAGCAGATCATGCAAAGCAGAAAATGACAAGCCCAAGACTCAAAGTGATTTCAGAATTCTCAAATTCTCTGATAACTTTGTACTACAATTGGGAAAGCAGAAGCCTAGCCATTTTACACTGGTTCTGCTTAAATGGCCATTACTGCAGAAAAACTGTAAACCAACTTCTGCCTTTCCCCTTGCAACAGAAAAGCAAAAGCTGCAATTACAAACCAATTTACCTTCCCATTCCCCTCCTCCAGTAATCAACAGAGAGACAAGACCAAGATCTTAGGAATGAAGACAGATAAAATATACAGGAGATTTTGCTTTACTGACCCCAACATAATCTATATCTAAATCATGATACTGTTTAGCTCCCAGTATCCAAGAAACAATATAGTAAGCAGTGACATCTGGATAGTCATAGGGCCAGTTTTCACCCTTCCCTATCCATGCCGGAAATGTCCAAGGTAATCCTGGAAAGAGAAAAAAAAAACAAATTAGTAAGATAAGTGGTTGGTCTATATTACTCGGTGAGCTTCAATAGCAAGCTGTAATTTTTTCTGCCTAAAACATAGGAACAGATACACACTTCACATTCACATAGTTCCAGTGAAGGCAATGAAACGTAACTTATTTAACTGGAGAGTATGCTGTAATATAAACTGTGATTAAACATACTAATAGCTGCCTTTTTTTTTTTTTTTAAAGCTAGAAAACCTTCATTACTAGAGAAGAATTACATGCAGTCTTTCAATTGTGTGGTATTAGCTCCAACAGGTTTAAAATTCCAAAGATTTTAGGATAAAAATTGACAGTTATAGACAAGGGATCAATACTGAACACTAAAAATTGTTAATCTCCTGAATATGAATTTCAGAAGAAGTGATGATCTGATCATAATAGAGGAAGAAAGACTAGGATCACGAAAAAGCATTTCTGAGTCTCAGCTGTTTACTGGATCTTGCAGTAAATAAGAACAACGAATTAACCTAACCAGATCCTGCTGTTTTCAGCTGACTTTGTATAAGGCACCATAGGCTAATTCAAAGGCAAACCCTCCTTCCTTTGTTAAGAGCTTGATCTGACTGAAGATGGAGGTTATTAATAATCACAATTAGTCATAGATGGTAAGCTGACTGCTTGTCACAGTGCCTAACAGAACATGACTGGCAAATCCTGCACCCAGTCATGCCTTGTGGCTGGATATGGCAAAACCTGATCCCTGAAAGAGGCAGGGATTAGGTACTTTTTAACTGATAGACTTCTTTCCTTGTTTCATGCAAAATACATTTTATGAAGTGTTTTGATTAACATCTAGGGTTCCAGATTTGTACTGTCACAGCACATGTACAACCCACAATCAAAACAGGGAGACAGGGAAGTCCTCTTACAACTCAACTACATACATAAGACAAACAAATCAGAAGACAAGAACCACTATCACAGGGAGGGGGAGATGGGTTTGTAGTAAGAACATACAGTTGAACTTAGCATACACATAGTGCATGTAAGATTTACAGATTTATACTTCCTGTAAGTTTACTTTCTCACTCCCAATTTTTTTACCCTGTTATTCAGAAATTCAGCTCTCACGATAAATCATGTATGTTCATTGCTGTGATACAGTCTAAGCACTAATGTTACTTGATAAAAGCAAATGATTAAAGAGTCATTTCTTATTCTATGCTACTTGTTAGATGCATTCTTGCATTATGTAACAAAGTAAAAAACATTACGTGAAGCATCAAGGCAAGCTTACTAAATACTAGAGATTCTATTTTGTCTACTGCAACATCAAAACATCTGCCCATTAAAATTAATATGCTAATTAAGGGTCACATATGTCATTTAGTTAGGACAAAAAAAACATTTAAATCCTAGAGCTTGAAGCAATTTACCAATTAGTTTAATTTTGGGGTTCCTCTTTTTAGCTTCTTTCATCAGCCACCATTCATAGCCCCGGAAGTAGTTCTCATCATCTTCATAATGCATATGGGAGGGTTCAGTACCATCTGGGAAGGAAAGAGACAGGTAGCTCACAATTATCTTCTGTGTCATAAGCTGTTACACATTACAAAGTTCTCTGGATCGCTCATTGCCATAGTATGTAAGCACATATCTCCAATATGGTTCACACGTTCTTCAGTATGTATTTCAAAGCAAAATGAGGATTTGGGAGGGAACATGCAAGACTTGCCACCCTTCATTCTTACCATATTAACCTAGTCAGTATAAATTTAATAATATTTATTTTTAAGGGGCTATGCCTGCTTTTAACATCAGAATATAATTAACTGTTCAGCATTTTCTACCTCTAGCTATAATACTAAATCTATATTCATTATTATCTTGATCCCAACAACCAGCAGGAAAATTATAGCATTAAGATCGGGGGGGGAGGGAACGACACGACTTTTAAAAAGCAGTTTGTATCGAAACCAAAAGGCAAACAAAAGAAGGTTAGAGTTTGTCCAGGGAGAGAAAAGAGAGAAAAGAACTGCCATGAAGTTTTTCAGTGACAGGAAAGAGATTTTTTTTTTTTTTTTTAATAGTAAAAGATCTAATTTATAATTTCCATGGTGTTCCATGACTGCAGGAAGAGCTTTTCGAATTGAAGGCTATGCACTGAATTCCCTCAGGCAAAGGTAAACAAACTAGAAAGGTGCAAAAGAATCAGTGTTCCATGGGAAGTCATTACACACAAAAGTCAATTAATAACTCATGCATGCAACTGCAACAATTACTTATGCTAAACTATATGCCTAATTGTTCCAGAGATCTCTTCTGATGAGACTTTTTTTATTAAAGTCTGCTGAAACAGCACATTTCATTACAGAAAATAGGATTTTTTTTTTTTTACCTTACTAACACTTAACTACTTGGAAGTTCTATTTGTCAGAGACATAGAATAACAATTAGATTCCAAACTTTGACTCCTGATGACATCTCTGAGGTCAGAATAGGAACTGCAGTCCAATGTGTTAAGACATATGGATCTTGCTGTTCTTCTAAAATCTAGAAAGCCATTACACAAGTATGTAACGTTCTCCTTAGCCAGCGGCAAGTGTTTGAAGAGAAGGTCTGTGCGTGCATGAAGATGACTCCATTCTCCTCTAACCAGCAATTTATTGACCAAATATGGAGCTCTTAAACCTGGCATAACTAACACTTTTCACTATGTTAATCTTTCTTAAGTAAACCAAAAAAATGAAAAGCAGTATCTAATTACAAAAACACAGACATTTAAATATATATATAAAATGCTACAAAGACAGATGCTCTGCTTTCTGTATACAGAAATATTAATATATTGTTATATCTATATAA